TGTAGTCTCTCTTCTATAGTTCACAGATTCTGGCTGATGATGTCATTGACACAAAGGAGAAAATGCAAAATGAGGGGTCTTAAGTCAGCTTCCTGGTGAGCGTCACACTTACAGCTGAGGCCTGAGTCCAGCTCTGTGTTTTGGCTATGGCTGGAGGCCTGGGATTGGGGCTCCTTCTCGGCTCTCTCTGGAAGGGTGAGTAGGCTCCTGCACCTTCGGGTCTTACAAAAGCGTATGTTGTTGTTTTAAAATTTGGAATAATTAAAAAAATCCCTGAATTCTAGATTTATTAATACTTACTGCACCTAAAAGGCCATCAGTAAGCAAATAGCAGCATAAAACTCAAAGCCTTTTTTGTTTTCCTGCAGTTGCAGAGAACAAGTATTTTAGCGTTCATCTGTGGTATCTTCGGAGGGAGCCATGATGCAAATCTGTAATCACTCTATATCCAATGCTTACAACTTCTTCTGGTACCTTCCCTTCCCAGGACGTGTGCTTGAGTCCTTGTAAAAGGCTCAAGGCCTTCTTGGCAGGGACGCTACAACATGACGTATAAACGATTCTCCTCTTCACTGCTCATCCTCCAGGTTCAGATGGCAGATACTGCCATTTACTACTATTCTCTAGGGGACACAGAGGCAGGGAACCCACGAAAAGCAGAACAGAAATGGGAATGATCACAGCCTTTGCAAGAGGCGGACAAGAGAAGAGCAATAACTGCTTTCCCCTCTAATTCAGGGTTCCCAAACTTTTCCACTTGGCACTGCTATCACAAAAGAAATTTTGAGTCCAGACACACTATATATCATGAAGCTCTCGGTTCAGTGGTGACCAGTAGAGAAGAATCCACAGGAGAGTAAAGTCCCTTCACTCTCAAATCCTGGGAGTTTGTATGTATATAGATATTCCCCTCTCTACCGTACACTTTGAACAGTTCCCAATTGGCTTATATTTCTCTAAAAATATAATCCCTAGAACATAACAACACACTTCATATATAGCTTGACCTGTCATTAAGCTACAAGGAAACCTAGAGAAAACTAGGTCTGGGGAGGGAAGGTATTAGACCCTGAGAAACTAAAAATTTTCTTCAGTTGACTGAGATAGGAGGGTCTCTTTTATTTAGAGTTGGGAGAGCAGAAGGTCAATCATAGAATTCCCCATTTTTCTGAGAGTTCCCTAAGTTATGTGAAAAAAAAAATCTGATTTTTCTTAGTTGGATTGTATTTTTTGTTATAGTTTTACATAAAAACAAAACAAAACAAAACACTGATTTTCCTCCTTGCTTCAACAAATTTATTTGTGCTGATTTTTCTCTGATACTTCTAAAATGGATATCATCTACATTTCGGAGTCTGAAATTTCAAAGGGCTTTCTCATTAATTTACATAAGTCATTCCTTGTTGTCTCCTGGGAAGTCAGTAACATTTACAGAGTTCTCATGTTTGTAAAGGGTTTCTTGGGAAAAGCAGCAGGCAGTCTTAGAGAAGTACCTGGAGTGGCAGATTGTTCTTGTGTAGTGATGTGCATGTCTCAATGGTAGTCCAATAAGAAGGAGGGAAGAGAGGTTCCTCTTGGAGGGCAGGAATCCTGGAGGAGAGCTGAGACCTCCGCCCGCAGCATTTTAGGAACATTCTCCATTGGCTCTCATATCTCACATCTGGCAGATCTCCAAATAGACAACACTGCACCGAATTTACAGTGTTTGGGGCAAAAGTTCATGTCCGTTTTCTGTGAACTTGAAGGTTCTTTTAATAGAAATTGGAGACTTGGGTCGGCCAGATAATCAGAATGTGGTCCAGACAGGGTGCGTATGGTAGATTAATAAGAGAAAAAGCCAAGTTTTCATCAGGTTATCTGCACATAAATCTCTAATGGCATAGAAATGAGCAAGAGATGCTAGAGAAGGAGGATGATCATTGCGTGTTAGAGGTGGTTTAGAAGCATTTATCTAGAGGCTGTTTTGGTTAAGTGGCACATACATGTGGGATCAGCATTTGGTATATACTCAAGTAACAAAGCAATCTCTAAAGTTCTACATGGCTCATTCAAGTTTATGATTATATAATTATACTATGATAATGGAGCTACTTTCCAATATTGTAAGGCTTTCAAAAAGCAAATGATCAAAACTGATACTCTCAGTGTAATTTAGTGGAAAGAATACCTTTGATGTCAGAACAGCTTGGGTTAAAATCTTTTTTTATTTCCTTAGGGGTGACTTGAGTAAATTACCCAAATTTTCTAAACTTCAGTGTCCTTATCTTTAAAATGTAGAATGTTAGAAAGAATAAACCTGACAAGGAATGTAAAGGCCTTAACATTACACTCACAGTAGGCAACTGATGAATAATTTCATCAATGTCATAACTCAAAGCACATAAGCAGAGTAGCTATTGAGGCTGTGTTGTTCAATTCTAAAAGCTCATTCGATGCCCGAGGAATCCTTTGGGTGTGCAGAATATTATGTGGAGGTCCCTGAATCCTTTCCTGCCTCCTTAGTAGTTAAGGAGCAGTTCCTTAACTAGAAGCTAACATGAAGACTAAACTTTCTACTTTTCAGGAAGGAGAAGAATAAGGGTTCTATATCAGTCTGGCAATTGCTAATGTATGCCCATAGGTTCAAACCACAGCATAAATACAGAGGAAAACTTTTCTCCTTCTAAAACTGAGCACACTTAATTAATAAATATCATCAGTTCCTCCTATAACCACCCTTTGAGGGGAACTGCTAGACAATCAGTCATATTTCTAGTGCAAAATTAAAAATACAAGCCTCCTAAAGATTTGGTTCATTTGCGGTTCTTGGGATTAATTATTAAATGGCTGAAGGCAAACAATATCTGAGTCACTTGTACTTCTAGGCAGAATTTTGCCTGTGGTGTGTACTGTCTCCAGAGAGAATAGAAGAAGTAGAGATTGGGCAATTACCTGGAAAATTTAATTAAGGCACTAAAATCTATATTGGACTATTGTTTTCATTTGACTTACTTGTCTTTCTACATCGATCAAAATGCAGTATAGATATGCCCATACATCCACTTAGGACACACATACATCTTCGCCTGAGTGGTAGGGCAGCAGTAAACCCCAGTATCAGGGGGCTGGATGCTCTGTTTTCCTCTTCAGGTCTTTTCTCTGTCCTGTTCTATGCCTTGGAGATTGACTTCTATGCACTACATCAAGTGGTTTTCCTCGTCCTCTTGCTTCTGATTGGGTTTGGGAGGCGTCGGCAGGAGAGAGTGGTCAGGCTATTTACACTGTAAGATCCTTGCTTTCGTGGACTAAAGTCCACCCATCCTGTCCGGTGTTTTTCTCCCTCAGTTACAGGTCTCCTCAGGCTAGGATAATTTCTTCCTCTTCTGTTTCTTTAGGCCTAGGATTGATGAAGCCTTCTGGATGTTGCTAGCCCCAGGGTGAGTCACCTTCTCTTGTAGGTTTTCCTTGATTCTGCTCATACATCTAAAAATATTCCTTTCATTAAGCTTTTTTCAAGCATTCTCTTGAGGCGATTGCCAGGACCCTCAAATATACAACATGAACATTCATCTTAGGCTCTAAGCAGAGAGAAATTTATTTTATGTTCCCATTCACTACAGGCCTCTTTGGCACCTGAAGATTAGTATTTAAAGTTAATTTACATATTCCAAAGAAAGACATTATGATAGAGTCAAGGTTTCAACAATTTAATTATGAGATCCTTAGCAAAGCTTTCAGAAACAGCTATGTTCCACTTCTTTGTCAGATTCCAAGCCAAGAGATTTTCTATTCTCTTTCCAAAATATATGGTTTATTTGGACATTATTTTAAGGAAAAACAAGGTAAATCAGAGGAACAAAGTCTTTATAGTGATACTCGTTTCCTTTATTTCAAATCTATTGAACAATCACTCTGCTGCTATTGTGACATTTTTTAGTACAAAACTTTAGCCTGTCCTCCCCTTAAAATGAGCCCTTTATTGTTGTCATAATAACTCGAGCTTAGTTAACCATCAATTTTTACTTTATATGCACTTTATTTTACTTGAATTCTGTTTTAAGTAGCCTCTCCATGTGTAAAATCTATATTTTGCTGCTCCTTCACAGATAATTTTTTTCTTTATAATCCAATACGACAAAAGTGCCAAGAAGTGTTCTTAACACCATCCCTTTCTTTTCTCTCTCTAAAAATGTTTCAAGAGAAGGCTCAAGTTCTTTTTCTATGAGTCTTTAACTAAAGATCATTATGGAGAGGGGCCCCATAGGTCCAACCTGGAGAAAAATCTGAGTTATCTTTTGGTCAGAGAGGTTTATACAGGAGTCATCTCTAAATTATTTGTTAAAAGCATAACAAGGGTCTTATTTTTTCTTATCATTTCTCTTCTCTTGTCTTACTCATTTCTCCTATTTTGACTTATCTTTTATTTTTATTTTTCTTTTCCTCTTCACCCAAATCTACACTTTCCCCTTTTTTTCTGTTTATTTCCCCATCCTATTACGATTATTTTATTTCCCTTCTTTCTATCTCTATATTATCTTAAGGGAGCCTAAACCATTTAAAGCTGCATCCTCTCAGCATGCATTTTTTACACTTTGATGCACAAACTCCTGTTTCTTCTCCTAGAATATCAAATTCCTCCTTGTGTTTCTCATGAACAATGTAAATGTCCAGAAGTCTGGTCTTGAGATAAGACCCGGAAGCTCTGGCTCCTTGACAGTAGTCACCCCTGGGTTCTGTAGGTTGGCTCTAGGAAGTGCTGCAGCGTGAGGCTTGCTCTGGGTTCACGATGATCAACAGTCCTTCTCTCCACAGAGCTCTGAGAAGCCTGATCAAGAGCTTGCTCAACAGAGAGAAGACACAGGTGCCAGGAAGTACCAGGTTCCCCGAAGAAGGGCCACTTCTAAAAATGCTGTGGGGACACAGAGATGCTGGTTGCTCATTGATAGCCCAGTCCCTGATGTGAGGCCACATCTCCTGCTGAGGTGGGCTGGAAAGGAGCCTCCAGCAGCCCAGCTTACGCCATGGCTTCTGCTTGGATTTCAACACTTGCAATTCTCTTCACACTGAGTGAGTAATATTTCCTTCCCATTTTCCACTTGTATCATCCACTTACATTCTTTTCAGCAGTTTTACTGATGCCGTGTGGATTAATTTACAGGTGGACTGAGAGCTCAATCAGTGACTCAGCCGGATTATCAGATCACTGTCACCGAAGGGGATCCACTGACTGTGAAATGTACCTATTCATTTTCTGGGAGCCCTTACCTCTTTTGGTATGTCCAATATCCCAACCGAGGTCTCCAATTCCTTCTGAAATACATCACAGGGGACAAACTGGTTAAAGGCAACTTCGGTTTTGAGGCTGAATTTGATAAGAAGCAAACCTCTTTCCACCTGAAGAAACTGTCTGCACTTGCGACTGATTCTGCTGTGTATTTCTGTGTTGGGAGTGACACAGTGGTGAGGGCTGCAGGGAGAATTGAACACAAACCCCTGAGTACAGTAAAAACAATTTTCCTTCATGTCCCTCCACAAGAGGGTGGTGTGGTTCCAGGTTATGTCAGTTATTATAACTAAATTACAATGTAAAGCCACAGAATTTGTTTGTTCAAGAAATATTTTTTGAAGTCTTACGTGCCAGCTACTGTGCTAAGCACTGAAAAAAAGTTATCCTTAATCCCTATGTGCCAGATGTGATCTCACACATTTAAGAACCCATGTAATTCTCACAACTATTACCATGAGCTTCACTTTACAGATGAAGGAATGAAGGCACTGAGAATTGAAGTATCTCACTCAAGTCACAAAACTATTAAACGGCAAACTGAAATCCAGGCAGTCTGTCTCTGGGGTACATGGTCTCACCACTCTACTTCTCTGCCAGTCTGTAGGCTCCTTGAGGCTTGAGACTGTGATTTCAGTGATGGTGTGGCCCTAATGTCCCAAACAGTCACTGGCAAAAAAAGTATTGGTTGTAGAAATAAACAGTAAACTCACAACTCAAAATAGTTTGGTGAGCGTTAAGATAGAGAATTGCACAAAATGCTATGTGAAATCAGGGAGTGAAAGTAACAACTGTGAAGGAAGGAGTGGGAGGGAGATAAGGATGGAGAGAGAGAGAGAGAAAGAGAAAGAAAGAGAGAGAGAGAGAGAGAGAGAGAGAGCACATGAAGAGAATTTTGCATCAAGAGGATTTAAACATGTAGGCTGCTTAAAGCTTTTACGCTCACATCTTCTTATGTATACACTTGAGAGTGATTGGACTTAATGTCTCTCTCTCTCTCTCTCTCTCTCTCTCTCTCTCTCCAATTTAAAATATCCTGGAAAGGGTTCTGGTGACTCAATGTGAGTCAGGTGCTCGTCCCTGGACTAACCATTGGTGGCTGTGGTTGTGGGCTGCCCAGATTGGCTTGCACATTTGGCCAATTATTGATGGCCAGGGGATGATTCTGCAAAAAGTTAGCAGCTCTATTTGGTTTAAAGGAGTATGTCCCCAAAGACATAAATTTTTAGATAGGTACTCATATTTGTTTATTTTTTTCACATGGATAGCCAATAGTAGGAATTGGAAAATTGGAAAATTTACTCTTGCCCCATAGATTTAGAGTACTACATTTATTGTCTAATAAATTCCCCTATATACCCAGATCTATTTTTGAACTCTATTCTTATAGTTTTGTGCTAGAATGTGTTGCTTCAGGGAGAGTCGCCCTCCAGACTCTGACTCACACCTTATGATCTATTCTCCTTCTTTTCTGATCCCTAATTCTGTCATATACCTTGAGGGGATTTACACACAGGGATGTGGACACCTTAGTCCATATGCCTACAATCCCTGCAAAAAGCCATCACTTGACCACCCCTTAGGCCTAGGGTTGTGTACCTGGTGAAATGACTGTTTCTGGGAAGATGGTCCTTGGAAGAAGCCCATGTAGACCTTAAAAGTGGATGTGGGGATATGTGTGCAGGGAATTCTGGGATCCTGCATACCCAGAATCTAGAAGAGGCATTTAGAGTCCAGAGGGCCATATCCGCTTGGTGCTGTAGACTTCTCATAGGGAGAAGAAGGGTGGGAGCAGCTGGAGGATGGTCTGGGTGGAGCCTTAAGGTGCAGAACTGTTAACGGAACTCCTATCGCTCCAACGGTAACAGGGAGACCTATCTCCTGTCCTCTGCCAATTCCTAAATACTCTAAAGAGGAGGAAACTTGGGCTGTCCAGAGAGAACTAGAGCGGGGACATTGCTGCACATCTCTAAGAGTGTCAGTGTTGTGTATCATCATTGCTCCAAATACATTTATGTTCATAATACTCTAGTCCTTATTTTAGATTTAAATATATAGTTGCCATATCATTAGGTAAGCCCTCAGCTCCATCACTCTTTTGCTCCAAAGGAAATTCATACCCAGAAGGATACTCTCAGCACACTACATCATCGACCTGGCTCTGTGGTCTGTTTCTGCTTTTGATACTTTAAAGCAGATTGTATGCAAGTCCTACAAAAGAAGGAAGGATGTTTACACAATTATAACTCATTCATTTATTTACCTATTCATTCAGTGCTTATTTGTAGCATTCCCACTATACACCAGGCATCGTTCTAGTCATTGGGAATACAATGGTGAATACAAGCTTCCCATCTAGTCATAGCCCAGACTTGAAAAGTACTGGTAGCATTTCCTTACCCAAATGCAAGTGTTTCTTAGTCAAAGATACATTACTCTCAAGAATGTCATCTTCTCAGGAAGACTCTCCAATGTCAGACTAGCCCTCTGAAAATTGTTTTCATCATGTGGTGGTGATTGGTGGTGTTGTTATTGATGTAGGACAGAGCAAATTTCTCCTAGTTGGGCAGACGGAGACCAAGCCCTGCACCGAGAGAAGAAGGTATTTGGTGGAGAGTGTAGAAAGACTTCAACACACACGCCAAAGTTAGGATCAAAAGGAAAGTTTATTAGGAAAGGGGAAACACTCCACAGACAGAGTGTGATTCTCCTCTCAAAAGCAGAGAGAAACAGTGAGAGGGACAGTGAAAGGGACCCTGTTTGGGAAATTCCGTTTATATATCTTTCTTTAGTTTCCCTAGGTTATAATTTAAAGGACTTCGTTAACCCATTTCCTTTCATATGGGCACAATGAGGAAGGGAAGGAGTACGTAGCGTGAAAAGGTAAGAATATGTAGAGTGAAAGGGCTGCTGGCAGCTCCCAGCTTTTAATCCACAGGTTCCCCGTGGTTTTAGCCAGAGGGAATGATTCTTGGTTTCTGTTTCCCCTTCACTAGAGTGAGGAATGGGTTGTAGCAATCCCAGTAGAAATCTTCCTTTGTTCTGCAGATGTCCTCCTGGCCTGACTGCAGGGCTGATCAGCATATTGTAGTCTCTAAATTAGCTTAATTAACATTTTTAATTCTCTTGCCTCCTCTCTACATTAATGGGAGGGGAGTCATGTAG